TCATGTTTTAAAAATTACATTTCTTTACTATTTAAGAAGAGGAAATATAAACTTTAATTTATCGAACACATTTGATAATTAAATATTATTGGAACAATTAATTATATTATTTTAGTAAATTCGTGATTGATTTTCTGCTAGGACTTTCCAGTTTTAAATTAAAGATATACGTAAATATCTTCTCAAGATACCTTAGCACAAACTATTAGTTGGTTCATGGATCCTAAGAAGTTGGAAAAATGAACAGAGTTTTTAAGTTAGATCAATTTATCTTTATATCAGCGTCATGAGTTGAAGTCTTTTTTCAAGTTTACTATAGGTTTGTCCTTTTAACGTTTTATGATGATTCATGACTTTCAGTCTTCACTTTTATTGAAGTTTCACTGCTTCAACAAAACAACCTCTCAGCGTCCTTTTATTGAAAATTCACACCAGGAACTTGGCTGGCAAGAACTCCACTACGCTATGATAAGCGTTGAAACAGTGTGATGTTATTCAATATGGTCACAGGAATCCAAGATCATCGCTCTTGTGCAGTAAATGAAAGTTTTTATCTGCACGAGAAACCAGACGGCTTGCCCCTGCATAACCTATAGAAACTGCTCTCTTTTGTTAAGTAAGACAAAAGGCGTCTTGTGGTATAATTCAAATTATGGTTCCTTTTGACAGAGTATGTTCATGTTGTCTGTTTTAGTTAAGGGATTATGTTTATACTTAATTCAATTCAGTAGGTTCTCACTAAACATTATATTTTGTCTGTGTTTTATTCAGATATATTTGACTCATTCTGTTATAATGGTTTCGTTTTTTAGGTTAAAGTATATGGTTTATGTTTTAATTGTGTAAATTTGTTTTGGTTGATAGTGATTAAGTCAAACTCTCCTTGCTGAAAATTGTTAAGGTTACGTTTCCTTTTCTTTAACTTTGATGGATTTACGTTTTTTTGTTTAAGTGAGGTGAAGTTCTATTAGAATAACTATAATCACTTTGAGCTAAAACACTTTCATGCTGATGTAAGATATTTGCTTGTCACAATGGAAAATTGATCACATCGGAAAAGCCCGCAGTAGCACAGCGGTATGTCTGCGGACTTGCAACGCTAGAATCCGGGTTTCGATATCCGTGGTGGGCAGAGCACAGATAGCCCATTGTGCAGCTTTGTGCTTAATTCCAAACAAACAAACGCATCTGAGAAAACTTGTAATAGACGTATACCATATATTGTGTTACATAAAAGAAATAATATCGCAAAAATAGGCCTAGTACTTTTGTAGAAATATATATTATTAAAAGCCGTCTCGTAATGATTTATCTATAGATATTTTTAATGTTAAACTTCTAAAAATAATTGAAACCGATGATTATGCGTTAGTTATGAAAATAGATAGGCTAATATCCACCACTCAGAGTTGCCTCGCTCGATTACCATAATTTTTGGTAAGGTAATTGGAAACCACTCTATGGTGTACATTAGCTATTTTATTTAAGGATTTTTACCCAAGAAGAGGAATTAAAAAAACAAACAAACTTTGAAATAGGGCACATTTTCATTTATATAGACTTCTGGCATTGATTTTAAAGACATAAGTACTGAATTAGTTAAATGAGTGGATAGTTTACATCCTTCCACAAAGCATCTGATGCAGTCATTTATTTAACATTGCCCTTTATAAAAGTTTTGCTTCCTTAAATAGTACCCTAAGCTAGTTCGATATAAAATAACAATGAATGCACCCAACTTGCTCCGTTTGACATTTTTACCTAAAATTTACGTTGTATAAAGGTTTTTTAAGCAACGTGAGATTATTAATATACCATTTAGAGAGCTTAAGAAATGAAATGACAAGGCTTCTGCTAGACAAGAAAAATTATCTAGTGATGAATAAGTAACATCTTAGAGAATCCAGCTCTTAATGAAATGTTTTATTTGGCCTTAGATTGTTTTTCCTTGAAGCAAGACAATAAAGGTTTTGAAAGTAAATGACAATATGTGATGATAAACAAAACAAAAACACTCATTAATGAAGAGGATGTGCTTCACCAAGTGGAATTATTTCTTTGGAAACCAGAAGACATGCGTTCTATCCAGATTACCTTACAAACAACATTTTCCACAAATTACTATTTATTAAAATGGTTAAAGTAATTGCTTTGCTCGTAGTTGAGCACAAGGCTATGAGATATCTCAGCTCCATCCACAACTGATATCGAAACATGATTTTTAGCGTTACATGTCCACAGACTTTCCGCTGAGCCACGGGGTGGGGAAGCTGTTTACTAGAAGTAGTCAATTTGGTACATGTGTAGTCATCTCCTTGATGAAACGAGATGTTTTCTTTCTATATGTTGAAGTTAAGTAGAATTTAGGGGTTCCTTTAACTACAGGAAAAACTACTTGTTGTCTACAGACATTCATGGGGATGTACCAGGCTCATTGGACTGTTAAAGTGGCTTACATCTTCTTCTTTATTACAAGAACTCCATCATAAATTTATTATGCCAAAAACATACCACTTTTCCTGTAGGCTTTCCATTACCTATAAAGTGTACGAAGACGATGGTTTCAATAGTCCAATCAAACAAAATTCCACAGATGCTGCATCTGCCGACCTGACTGGCATGTCTTCGTATGGAATAGCGCGATTACTCGTTTATTTTTTCAGCTGATTGAGGTATGCAAAGATTAAATGAATATGACATTGAAGCAATTTGATTATACGTGACTTGTTTCGCTTTTCCAGATGGAGATCTTTCTTGGTTTTATGTTGCTTACTGTTGCCTGGGGGCACGTGAATGGCTTTTGTCATTGATCTTTGTGTTCGTAGATGTCCACCTGTTAAAATATGCCACAATTTGCTTATCATGGCTCGGGTACAACTTATTGCAAGTCTTTTTCTGGATGATCTTGGGTACACAGATTAATCCATATTACTTTGTTTTCCAATGTTATTAATTACAATGGATATCACCATTTTGGAAATTCTAAATCACTGATCTGAACACATCTTTATGCTATGAGTGTATAAATATTTTAAGTCGAAAAGGGATGTTACATACTCCTTCCAAAAGCAATCAATTTTCGGTTGCATCACTACCTACGTAACGCTAGTGTCAAAACGTAGTTTGATACATGTTGTCTTGCCACGACTTTGTATTGGATGTGATTATCGCGTAACTTGCAGATTTGCACATTCAAAATCGTTTTAATCTAAGATACCCAAGCCTCTGTGCACGGATATATTTATATATACCACAAATCTATAACAGCGAACCTCTAGCTGTCTTTTCAGATATTTTGAACTACGATAATATCTGGTATTATAGTTACACTAAAATACAATAAACATGGTTGGGTCGCATATTAAGCCTTTAACATTTTATGGAAGTAGTATTAGACCTCTTTAAAGGGGATATGGTTATATTTTCATACGTAAACAGTGGCTATTTAGAAGTGAAATTCCGTAATGTATGGACCAAAAGGCCCATTCTATAAGTAATTTTATTCAAAGAACCGATTCGCTATATTAAAATATAACGTGGTCATTGCTATCGAACTGAAGCTTAAACTACATGCCTTTATAAAATTAACAAGCATTTGAATATTAAGTTTCAAAAAAAGGTTCTGGAACTCTTAGAAAAACATGCTTTAACCTATTTAAAGTATATTCATGTTGAATACCGTGTACTTTCATAAACATGTCTTCGTACGTACACTCGAACACCAAAGTTCTGTTATTGGTAAACTAATCTGAACTGCTTGAGCACGGTAATTGGATAACGAGTGTACATGGTTCGCAGCCCATTGTCGTTATAAGAGATGTTCAAACCTTACTATTCGACCAGCCTAAGAGTTGGCTGCGAGTGCTATTGACTAGCTAACTTCCTAGTAGTCTAACAGTTCAAAATTAGAAACGTTGGTGAGCGAAAATGCTGAAACTACCTCTTACGAACTGTTCCCCTGAATGCTCAGATGGAGGTGTTTTTAATGTTTTATATAATTGTGACTAAGTGCTATGAAAACGTATGGGACACACAGTTTGATACTACGTTTATGTTGTATATAAATCCACTATGTGAAATTCTGAACTTGGTGTGTTTTGAAAAGCAAACGTAACATTGTGCTTGTAGAGTTTTTTTGAAGTTTTGACAAAGCTCAAAATATATATAGACCAAGCGGTAAATAAAAAGTACATTTCCAAGTACAGTTGCCATAATGACTGAACATATTTTTCAGGTTAAAGGATATCGTCCACAATAAAAAATAAATAATCCTCAAGTGTTATTCTAAGTTGCATGTTTTTGTAACTGTAAAAGGTTTTAGCATAGTAAAGACTATACAAATGCTTAGTAAAATAAACCAGTATATCAAACTTCAAGAGATGATCATGAAAACAATTATCACTATTTGATAAAACATTGGATGCTAGGTAAGATATTTAACCATAATAAAACATTCGTGAAATAATATTCCATCAGCCAACTTTTTTTTTTAGCGCAAAGCTACACAATGGGCTATTTGCCTCACAGGGAATCGAGCCCTGCATTTTAGCGTTGTAAATCCGTGAATTTACCGTTAATCTTCAGGAGACAGCAGTCAACAATGAGAGATTTTAACTTAAATAATGTGATGAATGAATTTAAATGGCGGCGTAATGCTTTTGCTAGTGCATTAATTGTGTTAGAATATTACACAAAATATGTTCACATAAGATACAGGAAAAAAAAAAGTCACGTTTCTTAATTTATTTTATTACAATTAACGAATAAAAATATACAAGTATATACTTACATTTTATTTAAGAAACGACTAGTTAACTATACCACAATTAATTTAACCTGACCTAATGTCATATTGTAAATTCAATAAAACCCGTATGTGTACCAACATTTCAACAATAACCCAACCAGCTTTGCTAACATTGTTACACTTGTTGTTTGAGAATTTAATTTCTACATGTGTTTACTTTTTCAAAATTTCTAGTGATTACTTATATGTTATAGCTTCTTTTTTTAACCACTACATACGTTAATTAAAACTGGAGTAAGCTTACAGATTTTAAAGGAGCGTAGATATGCCAAGTCTTGCTGGTTCAATATCAGTGTAAACGCTGACAGTTTCATCATAATTAGTACAGCTGAAAATAGCATCAAACCAACAAAATATGACTTATAAACTCTTCCTTAACACCGTAGGCTTGATCCATATTGAGTAATAAATTCTCTTTTAAAATAAGTTGGTTTTCACATTTGAAAACAAATATAATAAAAAGTTTTTGTCTTGAACATCACCCTATATTGCTTTAACCAATCACCAGTCAAGCTAAATATATTTTTAGGAGTTAATAACTTCCATCACTCAAACAAAATCTGAAAATAGTCACTCTTAACAGCTACAAAGCTGGCTATCATATAGACATCTATTCCATTAGAAACAATGTTTTAGCACAATTATGTATTTAAATAGTATACAAATGTTATCCAAACACACAAAACTAATGTGTATTTTGTTCTTTAAGATTTCTTGCAATACACTTCACCATGTAAGCCCATATGATAAGGGTAAAACAACTAAAAGTTTTCACTATCCATAATCAGACACTTACTACTACATTTGTAACACATACTTAATCATACTTTCTATTACATTTAATAAGGCTATAAATAACTTTAAAAATCATTACCAATAATCACTTTTACTATTACATTTTTAACACGTACATTGCTATACTTTGTATTCCATTTACCAACAAATCTACGAATATGTTTAAAATATATATATATATATATTTGTGAATGACAAATTTACATAAAGAAATTGATGAGAAAACAATCATACTGTTTTAAACAAGAGTAAAATTTTTTTAAAAACTCAAATTGTAATCATGGGCTAAGAAAAACTTTCAAAAAAACTTTCAAGTAATTACAATGTGCATCAGAATAAAACTACAACCTTCCAAAACTACCACAGCCATTTTTTACTTTATATGAAAACCTGTATGCTTATTTCTATTAATTATAAGATGAATCTTTTGTCTTATAAAATTAATTTTACTGTTCAATGCAATAGTTTACACACTATTTCATTGACTTTGATCACTGAACAATTTACAGACTACATACACTATATTCCTACATGACAAAGATAAATACAACGAAATCTTTAATTCAGTCAAAAAATTTGTCTATTCAGCACAATTAGAAAACAACTGTACCTGATTAATTTAATGAAAGCAGTAATATTTCACTGAAACAGATTTCAAAAAGAATAATTCAATATTTTTGTATATGTCACTCAAAAACCACTGGGTCAAAAGATACACCTAAATTATGACTGACATTGGTACAACTGTTTTACGATGGATATGAATTCTCTTAAAAGATCAAAATATTATAGGAACAGATTAAACTACATATTCTAAAATTGAAAGTTTCTTACACTACAAACTACATATTTCTTGGAACTGAGAAGGATAATCAGTTATTAAGTGTCTGTTTAATTATTTACTGATTTACACAATGTCATGCATGCAGCCAGTATAGTTGCAAATTAACAAAGACACCCACAGTGCATCACAGAGTAGGTGATATGAGACCATCTAATAAATGATATCACTTCACTTAAAGTTGTTTCACAAGTTTAACAAGACTATCCAATAACCTGTTACAGTATATCATCTACAAAATTTTAGTAATAAATATCAGTATATAGTCAATAGATCAAATATTTCTAGGTATAACAACAAAACAATAACAGTTTTCAATTAAACAACATCAATGTTTGACACTGCTTTAAGAATAATCACATTTCAGATAATATTACTCATAACTGAGGTATTTTATAGTCATTAATTACACACATACAATCACTGCTGCTTGTGAATAAAACTGTGAAAATATTCTTCCCAGAACGAAGTACGTATTAAAAAACCATTAAACATGAAAAAGATATTCAATATATCATACAACACTTTGAAAACCTTAAAGAAACTGTTTAATGGGCAGTAAAAGTAAAATTTAGATTTTAAAGTAGCAGTTATGTACATTAAAACAAGGAAAAAACAAAAATAAATTTGACTCTTAAAAATGTTAAACTATGATATACAATATGGAAAATATGCTGGTCAGTGCTTGTTAAATATCAAGAGAGTAATAGCAACTGCTGCTGGTCAGTGCTTGTTAAATATCAAGACAGTAATAGCAACTGCTGCTGCTCAGTGCTTGTTAAATATCAAGACAGTAATAGCAACTGCTGCTGCTCAGTGCTTGTTAAATATCAAGACAGTAATAGCAACTGCTGCTGCTCAGTGCTTGTTAAATATCATAATAGTAATAGCAACTGCTGCTGGTCAGTGCTTGTTAAATATCAAGACAGTAATAGCAACTGCTGCTGGTCAGTGCTTGTTAAATATCAAGACAGTAATAGCAACATATGTAAAATTTTAGTAATTCTTAAGGATGACTTAAAACATTAGGATTTTAGAATTGTTGGAGATAATAGACAAAACAATATTCATTACCAAACAAACGTTAGCTAGCTGGCCTCAATACAAATTTGAAATAGTTTGAAACTTGAGACAAACTTTCTACCAATTACGCAGTTTCTGCAAATATCTTATTTTCATATGTATATTTTAAAGAATTAAAATTTGAAAAAATCACCATGACTTTTTTAAGAAACACTTTTAAAATGCCAATTACTAATTTTCAGGTTTTCCTACATTCTTATAAAATTTCCTTAGTTTTTATTTTATAAAACTGTAAATTTTAACTTTGTTTTGATTTAAAAAACAGTGAATACAGTTTCAGTGAGAATCCATACCAATACTAATCTATAAGAATGTGATTAAGCAGTTGCAAACTCAATAAAGTAATTTATCAGTAAATTGTCAGATTTAGGTATATACATAAATAAAGCATTTAGGCCCAAGTTCAAGTATGGAAATTTGTTCTATATACAAGAGAGGAGAGCAATTAAAACAGGTATAAATGAACACCCTTGTAGTTGTTAAGAATATGGTAAAGTTTTTTGTTATTAACAGGGCTTCTTTTATTTTTCATCTATTAATTTTGTGTTTTCTGCTGAGGATATTTACCTTAGAAGAATCAAAAAGCATGACTGTTCTTAGACATGTGTTCAAAAACTTGAGATGGAGATTTTAAATGTTGACACAAACAAACAGAACGCTGTCTGTTTCATCAATATAACAGCTTTTTCAATCCATGCATTCAATTACATACACATTTTATGAAGTATCATTATTCATATACTTTTCGATAGCAGTTGACCTAGCTTTTTTTTTCAGGTAAAAATGTAAATTGTACTTTAATGTCAATTTTATACTCAGATTTTTGTCAAATATTAAAGATGAAAATTTCAAAGCTAAAAAAAAACAAGTTAACATTTTTACATCCCATTAACAAATAATAGAATACATAATGACAAATGTAAGTTTAATAAGCTAATGTTGTTCTTATACTAAAAGATATTGGTAAACATGTTGACAAATTCACAATTTAAAACATTATTCTACTGAATTAAAAATCCATTATTTCTGTACACATTTACAAGCAATTAATAAATTCCTCCCAAAAATTTTTTGTGCCTATCCACATTAAAATTAAATCCCTTAATGGAGAAAAATCTTTTCTTCATCCTAACTTCAAACACATGAATATATTCTCAGAGGAAGTATTAAATCTAAACGTTATTCCAAATTTGTAGGAGCAGCAAATAATTTAATTTTTAACAAAATAAAACAAATAAAATTAGAAAAATCTAAATTTTACTAAAAAGTATATGTAGATCCTTTTTTTTTTTATCAAAGGTAGATTGTCACTAAATGTATGGCGTGTAACAAGATAACCATCTGTACTGGTGTTAAATCAATGAAAATACAGGCACACTTAAAGCCTAAACACAACACCTAAAGTTGATAAATGTGTAATGTACAATATATATGGTTGTAAATTCATAGATTGGGACTAGAATTTACATCTTATTCATAGGTCTATTGAAATTCACAGCCAAGAGAACACTAAGCTTTTAGTTTATAAATATGAGATACACATTATACACACTTCATATGACTAAGTTCATAGGTTAAGACCAAAATTTACATTTTACAAGAAATTAAAATGTTTATATATCTACTGAAATTCACAGTCAAGTTTACAATAGGCCTTAAGTTTATGAATATGTTATACATATTACACACTTTATCTGGTTGTAAATTTATAGAATAGGACTAAAATTTAGATCTTACAAGAAAGTCAAATATTTAGATATCTTATGAAATTCACAGTTAGTGTGTTTGTACTTATACCTTTTAGATTGTTCATTTTATTTTAATCCTAAAGAGTAGTAGAGATGACAGGACTGATTCCATGAACCAGCAATGTTGGTGGAAGATTTGCTGTTAAAATGTTCAGTTTCTCAAGATATGACTCATTGTGTTGTTCTTCTGAGGGAGGAGTTGGGAGGTGAATAAAAAGAACAGCTGTATTTTTAGCGTGTTGTTTGATCATGGCATTCACACTACCCAGATAATCATATCCAACATGGTCATTCTCATTGTCCAGCAGGGCAGTTACGTGGTCCCAGAAGATTACACTGATTGAGGCGTTAATTCTCAACATCTGTAGCATACTTTCCCACTGACTTTGGTGAAGAGAAGCACTCTCTGTCTGAGCATCCATACACATAAATACCCTTAGTACAGTAAAGCGTTTCCAGCTACTCACCATGTTGAGAATACAGGCCAGCTGCATGATGAAAAGCCAGGAATTATCAATAATAGTAACTAACCCAGGTTGGAAAAAATCCATTGGCCATACATCAATGTAGGTGACACCCTTAGACTTTTTTAACTTGTCCTTATCCAGTTTTTCAAAATAGCGAGCTAAGCAGACATTCTTCTGAAGCCAGAAGATGCTGTCATGAATCATTTTTACATACTCATTAGCAGTAAGCATTTTACTTGTTTCTTGATCTCTTAATCCCAAGAAAACCTGGTCTCGAATGGTTGCTTTGTGAAGTGGTTCAAAAACCTGATCCTTCTCAAAAAATCAACTGGAGAGCATTCATCATAAAAACCAAAAAGAATCGTATTTGGTTTCATGGCTCCAAGTCCTGCCACCCACACAAGATGATGAAAGCCTTCTCGAACTGACTTAGCTAAGGTAACCTCCACAAAAGCTTTAACCTAAAATATGGAAAAAACATTCATCCAACAATCAAAATTTATAACTACTTAAATCAACAATGAAAAAACAAAAGGTAAAAAATCAGATTAGAATACTATATCTAGTATAGTGAAATATAACATAATCCATTATTTTGTTAAAACTCTTTTAAATTTCAGTCTTTCCTACACAAAGGTATACATAAATAATGCCACATTATTGTTCAGACAGATTGCTTAGAGTTAACATCTAATACAGTTTCTTATAACTTATAATAGTGTTGTTACCCATAACTAACTAGTGCAACTTTTCTCTATAACTGGATATTTTTAGCATTAAAGATCTTACAGAACAGAAAAAGAACAATTATTATCATGAATTCTATAAACAAAAAGATATTCTGACATCCTAACTTTATTAACAATGTGTCAGTTTGCCAGCACTCAATTTTTCTATTTCCATTATTGTTATAAGCATGGAAAAATATACAACTTTCAACAACTCTAACCTACATGTCTTTGAATTTTAAGGTTACTGATGTGTGTGTGTGTGTGTATATATAACTTAAATTTGTGAACTATAATTTTCAAGATGTTTTAAAAAATAAAATATGATAAAGAAACTGTTATTTAACAGATACTATTTAAGTTTCATAACTAAATGGTAACTTTTAAAAAAAATGTTTTTATCACTTAAGTTTAGATGTGGAAGGCCATGTAAAATAAAATTTGCTGTTATCTATCATGACTGCTTACAGTTTCAGCAGCACTACATACCAGATTTAATATTACATTAACAATAGGTTTAGTATTGTGTTACAGATAACTGAACATGAACCCATAATTACACAGCTTTTCAAAAATAAGAAAGAGAATTTCAAGAACTGTTTCTTTAGTGAACAGCTTTCTTCAAAATTGCAGAAAAAAAACATATTTTCCATAATTTAAAAACTAGTACTTAGACTTATGGTGGTCACTTACTTTTAAGTATTTTTTGTGAAATATAGAACGTACACGTAAACTTGACACTTCTACCTATGTTTTTAAAATACCTGGCAACAGAAAGGATTTAGTATTTTTTAAGACATGTTAAACAGCCAACTATAAGGTAGACTTTTATATACTTATCCAATTCTCTAAGAGTTTTTTAGATAATTATCTTTACTAACTTTTAATATAGAAATTACCGAGAGGGTAGAAATTGGGGGAACATCTGGGTGCAAGCAATCATTGATTTATTAGGTTTGATGTTTTGCTGTACATTGAGATCAGGAATAATGATATTTTGGTTACTAATTCCAAAAAAACAAATTTTACTGGGATGTGACAAGAATTATCTGTTGTGAATAATTAAGGATAACATTTTTAATATTCAAGATAAACATATTCCTTATAGAAAGAAAAGGGTGGATGCAAGTTAAAAACCAGGTTGGCTGACAAAGGGTATAAGAGAAAATTAATAAAAAGCATCAAAAATTTAAGACATTTAAATTGACTGGTATTATGGGAGATTAAGAAGATCGTAGAAGATCAACAAAGTTGATCAAACAGGAAATTGGGACATCAAAAAGAATGCATTGAAAAAGGTTGGCTGAAAATGTAAAAATTAACAGTAAAAATTTCTTTAACTACTTTAAGGGTACACAAAATGTTAGAATGGGGATAGGACCCTTGAGGGATGATAAAGGAAGGCTTGTATCTGTTGATTGTGAAATGGCTGGGTTATTAAATTCTGCCTTTTCTTTGTTTTTTTGCTAGTGAAGACTTAAGTAGTACTCCTCATCTTGAACAGTTGATAGATGGAAAAAAGACTGAACAATATGATGCATTAATTCTGAAATGGTTAAAAAAAATTGGGAAGTTTAAAGAACAATAAGGTTCCTGGGCCAAATAATATTTCTCCAAGGGTTTTGAATGAGGTTAAGAATTGGATATGTGGACCACTTGCTACTAGTTTTGTAAGTCCTTGAATAGTTAGGGCCAGATTAAGGTGGGGGCTGGTGGACCTGGATCTCCAGGCCCACATTAAAAATATGACATGCGTTAGCAAATATACATCTTCCATGTCAGTAATGGGTTCAGCATTTTAAAAAAATCTAAAAACACATGCGGCTCTAGTCATCTGTGATAGGCCTAGATTTATTACAGAAAAAAACATTACTGAGACATATACACAATTTCAGATGATCCCTTAAATAGAATATTATTGAGTGGTTAGAACTGCAAGTGCATGAAAATGACAAAATCTGTCTAGCATTCAAGAGCTACTTCACGTCTTTGAACGTGTGTCTGTCAGTAATGGATACAAGAGTGGGGTCTGGGGGTTCGAACCCCCACCCTTTTTGATGCAAAGTGCCCTCTATATGCAACATATTTTTCATTATGTTTGGATTTTCTAAAATCTGAGAAAATAATCACTATTAAAATTTAAAATCAACTTGTTATATAAATTTCATTATGCCATTTTCCTTTTGAAAGCCCCCCAGTGGCATGTCTGCGGATTTACAATGCTAGAAACTGGGTTTCGATACCTGTGGTGGGAAGAGAACAGATAGCCCTTTGTTCTTTACTACAAACAAACAAAACCTTTGTGAGAAATCCTACACCTAAAGGATATTTAAATTGCCTCTATAGAGCTACTACAAGTTATAATCCCCATTTCCCAAAGGTGTCAATCGCATTCATCATGTGCTCTTTTTTGTATGATCACATTTTTAAATTGGCAGGAAACTGTAACCTGTTACAACGTTGAATGCACTTGTGAACAGACTCGAAGTCGTCAACTGTCCATTTGAATGGGCAGATTCCTCAAAACTTTATATTTTGAAAAATGCCTGTCAATGATTTTTTTTTTATTTGTCCATTAATATTATAAGTATAAGAACAAGACATTTACAGCTAGCAGGTCAACCTGTCACTTTATAAAGTGAGACATGGTATACTAATGCATTAACTACATGGATATGGCCTTGGATGAAGTCAGATGTTATACTTGTGTTTGGGGTACAAGCCACTACTCTCATGTAGTAATAAACATAGCATTTTACCATAATACAGTAATAACAGCCGTAAAAGGAAAGTGGAAGAATTCCTAAACGTACCTGATTGTTCCTGGTATACGCAAGAATAGATATAAATACCAATAAAGAATTCAAGCAAGACTGTAAAATTCTCATTGGACAAAGAGTGAAAAAAGAGATAGATATTGGATATTAGGTTAATGGACAAATGAAAACTTTTCATTGGCAGGCACTTTCAGAATAGACAAATTTTAGATTAAAGGATAGACAAATGTAGTTCCATGTTACAATTTGAAGCCATTCTAGAAAGAAAAAAAAGGTTAATTTAGATTTATTTTGATTTTTTTTTTTGGTGGTTACAAGGTCAGTCAATTTGACCAATCTCGTATAGAGTTAGAGTAGAAAAAACAGATAAAATATAAAATTTTACTGAAAAAAAGGTTTGAAATGTATTTAGGAGGTTTTAGAGTTTACACAAATGACATTTGAGATCTTTGAAGTGAAGAAAGGTATTTTTAATCTTAACATGAATTCACTTTGCACTAGAATTGGTAAAAAAAAAAAGACTCATTATATTCATAGACAAATCTTAACTATATGTGTACTTCATTAAAATGTCATGCCTTCCACTGAGCACCTTGCTTTTAAAACATGTTCTAAAGTTTCTCTGATATTTGCTATTGTATTATTTGTAACCAATAAAAGGCATAGATGTCAAAGAACTGACAGCTATAGAGTCTAACGGTGTGTGACAGTGGAATAATAATTTGGACATCTGAGCATCCTTTTCTTCAATCTCGCTGTTGTGGCTCTGCTTGATCAGGTATGGGAATAATTTTAAGCCACTTGTATGTTAGTTATTCATTTGTTTGTAGTTAAGAATGGGCTATTTGTGCTCTGCCCACCTTGGGTATCAAAACCCAGTTTCTGGTGGAATAAGTCTGCAGACAAATCGCTGTGTCACTGGGAGTACCTATGTTAGTTAGAAAGCTAGATAAACTTAAGTTTTAAGACATTCTATTTCATGTGTGGAAATATTTCACATTCTAAATTGAATAAAAAATTTCTGAAGCCATATTATTATAAGTAATTGTAATTTTCTGTTATAACCTGCAGCCGTTATAGAAAGATAAAGGGGTAATTTAAATTTATTTCATATTTTTTGTGGTGGTTACAATGTTGGTAAAAATGACTGAGCCTGTATACATAGAGTTAATAAAACACACGTAAATATTTACCATAAATATTGAAAGAAAATTAGTTTGAAGATGCTTGACTCAATTGTTCATATTGGTCGTAAAATTCTTATAAATGCTATAACAGTAGCTTATCAGTTTGGCTACCAATTTTGATTTGAATCCTTTATGTTGCATGCTCAATGCTTTTTTGGTCACACCTTTTATTTCACACCCAAGGTGTTTTTGATTAGATATCACGACCTTTGTCACCACACCAACATTAGCTTTAGGATCGCAACCAGAGTGCTTGCTTCTGTTCTTTTCACAGGTAATTAATTTACTTTAATTGATATTCCTGTCTCAAATCCCAACTTCTTCCCAAAATAGTAATCTAAAAACTTGCCTTTAGTTTGTCTATTATAGACAGCCACAAAGGGTACTCTTCAGTTATAGGGTCTGTGGCAAACATGTCCTTATTTCCAATCTTTACATGGCCTAACACATACAATCCACTCTTCTTCAGGTCATTGGCAAATTTGATTAGTGATACACAAGATCGGGGGTTTGCCACCATCAGCAAAAACTGGGGTCGCCAAAACTTGATGTGGTCCTTTCGGCTATCAAGCAATAATAAGTACTTTCTTACCTGAAAAAAAATACCAAATCATTAAATCTTTGCTTATAGATATGATCCAACAACAACTTGAAAGCAATGTTGCACTTAACTATTCACTGTTAGATAAATATTACTTCTGCTATATTTTCTCAAACTTAGAAGAAGAAAAAAATGTTACTACAAATGTAAAAATCCTTATAACAAGAAATAACCTTTTCCTGATTTATGAAAAACCTAACTTAGTTAAATGTGTAATATTTATATTGCGTTTGGAAAGTTACACATCTATGAGAAAAACTCCTAGATTTTGTAAATATTCTTAGCTTCTCATCAGCAGAAAATAAATTTCTTTAGCTTTCAAACCACTTGGGTTCTCTAAAAATTTATTTTAATGTAAAAGTAGGTGAAAATATGTCTTGAAGTGATAAAATTCATGATTGTGGACTATGATTTTAACTTTAAGTCACTTAAGTAATTTTTATGGGTATACCTTATTCTTTTTATACTTTTTATTTTACTATCATCTTAACAGTGCAGAGCTTTCTACTGAATGTTCATATATTTGTAATACAGTTTACGAATCATACCAAAACTAAACATACATATGTTATCAAGCTATAATTTATATTCAAAACATCTATTAACTATAGTCTTGCAGCAGATGGATCATGACACCTTATGCTTAATTTGGTGGAAGCAAGACTAAATTGTTCTTTGAAATAATAAAACTAAATCACTATAATTTGAAAGTCAGTAGACAGGGAAAATAAATTTTTTACACACTTTCATGAAATAACCAATCTTTTCTATTGTTTAACAGAAAAAAAAAAAAGCTTGAAGAGATTTCTAATCAAGTTCATTGCTATCTACACATATATTAACATGCAAAGTTTTATGTCTGTAAGGTATGGAAAATATTAGAATAGAAATATCTTGTTGAGGCTTTTAAGTTGATGTCAAAAACATTTCAATTTCAATTTAAAAACAATATTTTCTATCTCATGAAATAAAAGATTTGTGAAAGTGTCAACATTATTTTAGGGCTAAGTATGATATATTAAAAGAATTTCAAATATGGAAATTAGCAAGTCATATCAAAAACCACAGCTAGTATCAAGTTATGGTGGAACAGTATGCATCAAACTAATTTAGACATTTTTTGGCATTTTGTAGGTAGTATGATGTCACCCAAAAACTGACCAATTTTGGGAATGGTATGAACAGCCCTTCTGATGCAAAATAAACCTAATAGAGGCTACATGCAAGACTCACGAATGCCAAATTGTAGAATCCCTTGGATTAGTAGTTACTAAGTATTGGGGTTTGATGCGTACATAAAATCATTACATTTCTGAAAGCCATGTTTAAAATTTTAATGGTATGTTTGTTGATGTGCATTAACAATAAGGTTATTTAATTAAACTTTGGATGTAACTCTGTAAAAGGTCATTACATACACATCATGCATTTTAATACACATCATTTAGAAAATACTAGAACAGCATATATTACAGCTCATCCTTCCCAAATAATATAGGCAATAACAATTTTACTAAGATGCACTACAAAATTTCAAAGATTGTGGAACAAAATACACCAAGTTTTGGTTAAATAAATAACATTGACATTCCCTATGTTAAATTTTATTATTGTGAATTTTGGCTCTTTAGTCAGAGACTTTGTTGGGAAACTAAACATGGATATTCAGAATATCAAATTTTGTTCTTTATTGTGAGTTTTCAGCCCTATTACTAGAACTTATTTCACTTCACTTGCTCAACATAGGTTACAATAAAACAGCTGCAACTAGCAATAAAATCCAAATGTTACTGTTGAGAATATTGATGCATGTAATTTTTTTCAAATATAATTACCTATATGCAGAGATGTAGTCAAAAGTGAGTGGGACCAGACTGGGACCAAGATTGAGATCAATATAATTTTTATGCAACTAACTTTATAATCTAAATAACATTTTGGAATAAAAACAATAACTATCACAATAATATTAAAAAATAATAATATTAATAAATACTATTCAAAAATGTTATTTAAATTATAAGTTTGGTCACATAAAAAATATATTGATTTCAATCTTGGTCTTCTCCAGTTGGTCTTGATTACATCTCTGCCTATATGTCATAAGTCTTAAACAATAAGTTAAACTTTGACAGTTTTAGTGATCTAAGATTTATATAATATTAAAAATAAGTATTCCTTGTCCATGCTCTCAACATTTTTTTAGCAACAGATGGAATACTATATTATAGTTTGTTTAGAATCAAATCAAACTAGGTTAAGCCATGAAGGTAATTAGCAATTTAATTGGAGAAGATGTCCTTGTATCAATGTATTCTCATCCTGCTGACAAGTGACCCACATTTTATGTTTTGTGTCCAATAAGGCATATCTTTTTGCATGTACTGTAGAGATTTTTGTAAGACTTTAAAATTCATTTAACTGTATGACTGCAGTGTCATACAATCCATATGACATAAAGTGACTATCATTTATTTTGTTCCAAAATTAAAACTAGAAAATGAAATTGTCTGAAATTTAACAAGAACCTTCCTAAAAGTATATAGTTTCAGAAAAATAAAAATATTTGATTTTGATTTTTTCACTATTTCTAATAAAAAATTTGTTATTTAATGTAGTTATTTGCATTCAGACTCTGAATAGTTCACCTGCAAGGTGATTTTCATTTTGAGTATAAAACTACTACTTATTATCTTACAATTTTCACATTTCACTTACATGATCTTTAGAACTTCCTAAGTGAATATCAAAAGTTTTTTAACTCTTTCAGCATGGGTTCAGTCCCTGGGACTGACCTCATAACCATTTTGTGCTTGTTATAGTTTTCATGCTATAACTTTTAAATTAATAAGTGTACGTCAAAGAAATTTGGCAGATTATCAATAAACATTACAATATTTTCATATGCAAGTTTTTTTATGAAGTCTTAAGGTTTTGTAAAGCAATGTTTTTCTCATGGCTTTTTTTTTTCTTTTTGCATTATTCTTATCCAACATGCAAAGTAATTTTAATTTTAAGATTAAGAATACTTTTGTGCATCAGAAAATTTTCAAATTTCACATGCAAAATCTTTATAATGTCCAGATAGTTATCAACCATTTCTTATGATAAACTTTAAATTTATTTGTTATTTTCAGTAATGAATCTCTGTATGGGCTTGGTCGATTTCACCAATCTCTTCACCAAATTAAAAAAATTAGAAAATAGATATAAATTATGCCTTTTGTGTTCTATATTGACTACAAATTATAACACGCAAACATAAATGTTTAGACTAAATAGCTTAAATCTCATAACATTATATATTTATAATTTTGATTATATTGACCTTTCAGCCACGTTTGGCTAACAATACAGAAGTTACAATGAAGCAGCACACGTGCACTCATGTTACCACACCCAATAATATAAAACTGACCTTTAGTCTTTACAAAGTGGCCTGTCTTGGCTGTGTTTTAGTAGACTAGTACTTTGTAAAATATGGTCACATTTCAATTATTATACATTACATATGTATGTGGATTATTGTTATTTTGAAGCAAGTTTTTAAACTTACTTTTCTTAAAACATAGAACAGTAAATAAAGAAGTAAAGCAAACAATTATCTCTTCTAGTTACAACCTTTATACTCGGGTTGCTGCTTGACATAGGTCGCTAAGCCTTTAAAAATTTTGCACGTGGAGGTTTTATATATACAGTTGAATAACCAAAAAATCATAAATTACTATAGAAATACCATATAATTCCACTATAATTTATCAAGCTTAGTAACTAAGTTGTATTTGGGTCTAAAAAAATATATGAAATTTTGAGCAGACGAAAGACACAACCTATCTCCCTGAAATCTTGGTTTGAAAGAAATAGATGGCATCCAAATACGTTAAAATGGCTGAGAAAGCCACTAGAAGGACATTCTGAGCTTTCGATTGGTTATTCATGTCATATATAGAAGTAAGTGCATATAAGGGAGTGTTTACAAAAATGGAAAGAGGTGGGAAAGAGTGCCACAGTGTTTGATTTATTACATGAGCAATATCTTAGCAAATTCAAAAGATAAGAGGCTCTTATTATATATTCTAGCTTATTAATATTGGTAATTTGAGTTCCTAATTCGTATGAAACTACAGACTTAGTATTTAGACTTCACAAACATCTACTTTGAACCAGTGCTGCATTCAACACACCACGTGACACACACAAATCAATGTTTAACTGTGTTTTTTTAATATTTACTTTTAAATTAAGAAATTAAGTGAGGTATGATACTAAAATTTGAATTATAATCTACAGTTTGATACCAAACTTTTTGATATAAATTCATGAAATAGTAATTCAATAAAATTTTAATGTGAGTCAACAAATGATATGGCATGGCTTTTTACTCATTACCTGTCTGGAAAGTGTTAAGGCAAATGTTTATATTTGATTTTCCATTTTCTCTACTATATTACTAACAAGCTATTATCATCCACATAAAGTGCAATGAAATCTTTAAAATTAAGAAATGTAAATATGTACTTACCTTCATAGAATAGTCTTAAAATATTTTCTTTGGACCATATGTGTAATTTCACATCTTTACCTTTTCACTAATAGTTTAATTTAAATGTTTTATTTTCCTTTCCAGTTCTTTACTGTTGATTATTTATGTTGACACATGTCAACAGGTATTCATGGCAACAGAAAAGCATGAATGGCAGAGATATTTTAGCTTTGGGCAGAATCTTTTTGTACTGCCTAGTAATGAAAACCTTGAAGAGCAAGGCAATGCTTTGGATATTTTAAAAAAAATTATTAAAACACAAATAAAATATAATTAACTAAAGTATAAAAGTAAAACCTAAATGCAATTTAACTGTCTATCAAACTAATATGTATATGGCAAGAAAAAATAGTCAAGTGCTAGGGACATAGATCTCAACAATGGAAAAGTGGCAGTTAGCTTGTCGTTTCAAGAATAATTTATGGCCTACATTTCCTTTTTTGCTTGGAGAAATTAAGCGAGAAGTCTGCTCTTTCTCTTGGTTATAAGCATGCCATTCAAGTCTAGAAAAGACTGTTGCTTAGCAACAGATTACTGTGTGGGTGCAGCATCTACCAGAAAAGAGCAAGTAATAAGCTAATTCTTGGAATAACTTAGCCTCTGTAAAATGAAACAAATGCTTAGACTTCGACCTAGTACTTGTAGAAGCTCGTCTAGACTGTTCTAGAGGTATTGAGACAAACCTAAACAGAAAAATAAGCAACCAAACCTAAGGTATTTGAACTACATGTACTGATGTCTTAATTGTTTGTTTCAGAAGTTTCTTTCAAAGTAAAGAAATAATAACTTGGATAATATAAATCTTTGAACTACAACATACTTGAAAATGTTAGTTCATTAAACTACACTGATAGTAAAGTGCTTTAATTAAATTTTGAATGTAACTCATTAACACTTTCTGACATGCAGAGAAAAAATTTAAAAGAATGCACCAATAGTCATAGGGTTAATTTCAGAATATGACAATTTTACCAATATTTTGTAATTTTTTGTCACTTTTATATATGATTCTAAACTGCATTACCAAATTTTCACTTGACTTTTAATAAAAGTGTCAATAAAACGAAATTCATTTAAACAAATATCACGTTATAAAAACGAAATCAGTGGCAAAAATCCCTTTTAAAACAGAAACAATCATCATATCTCTGCCACACTTCATCTCAAAATTCAACTTCAAATGAGCAAGATCCACTTAAAATTTTCAACTGTGAAAATAATAAACCATGTGAAAAAGGCAAGCTGTACTTGCTCAACAACATCAGTATTGACATTTTAAAACTAAAACTTGTAGAATCACCTGAATCATGATAAATATATACACTCAAAATATATAAATTTAAGCTTTTACATTCACGTTAACAGTTAATAGTCATGGCTGTAATTAGATCTCAAAGCGACGAAGAGCTGGAGCTATGAGCTAGAAGTTTACACTTGAAAAAAAAACTCTGAGCTATTCTATGAGCTGCTATGCTGCAGCAAAAATGACATTTGAATGCAGATTAAAATCTAGTTACAATATAAGCAGATTATTTGACACAAAATAAAGTGACAACAAATACTTTATAAAACAATAAATAAAACCTGCCTGATGAAAGATGAGGGCTTGACTGATAGAGCCCCAACGAATTGGAAGTGATCGGAGGTGAAGGGCAATGACAAGCACCAGACACAAGATAATGGTAATGGCAGCATAAATAGGACTGATAACAAACATCATGACACCACAACCCACAATTCCAATTCCAGCTGTGTGCCAGGTAAAATACTTGAATGATGGCCTAAATAAAATAAAATATATACAATATAAAATCTTTTCAAAATTCAGTTTACATTGGAGATGTTAAGCACTTTTGCAGCATATTAAATTAATATAAATATTTTAGAATTTTAAATTTCAATCAGGCCTACACAGGATAAATTAACACACAATAGTGAATCAAAATGTTAAATATACTTTATGTGTCAACACTACACATTATACCAAACTCAAAATAAATTGCAGACAGGAGATATACAAAGTAAATTAACTTAATAATTGTATGAATTTATAAACATACATATACCACAAAACTTTAGTCATGTCAACTTAACAGTCTGTTATCCGGTACCTGAATTTGTACAAGATTTTAGCTGTCTCTTAGCGAACAAAAAAAAAAAAAAAAAATAAAAAAAAAAAATATACAAAATACCATCAATGATTTGAAGTTTAAGTTTGCTATGGAAGCTTATAAAATGGTTGAAACCAGTTAGAATATTGTTTCTTTTCATAAGCATTTATGATCAACTTCATGTTTATGTTAAGTCCACATGTTTAAAATAAAATAATTTTGTTTTATATATATATAAACTTTACATAACCCTTACTTTTTGCCAATATATTTGTACATGTTTTTTGACAAAAACTTATGATGAATTCTGAGAACAAAAATCTTGAAAGACTATACTAAACTATAAGTATTCATAAAAACAATTTTAGCATGGTTATTAATATATATTTTAAAATTTGTTTTAACATTTTGGTGTTTAACTAAGTATTGTCTTTTGTGTCAGTAAAAAGATTGCAATATACGTATTTCCCAAACCAACTCCAACTTCTTGACATATTTCTCTTTTACATGGATATAAATATACCCAAATGAATGGTTATTTTCTTTAAACTTGAGAATGAAGCATATTTAGTGTATATGTCATTGCGAGTCGTACTATCACAAATTAAAGCTGTGTAAGAGAAATCATTTGAAAGTAAACAATTTTCATTATTCTAACGTCTGTAATAATAGACAAAAACCCCTACATAAGTAGCCAGTAAGTACCGAGTTAATCTTACAAGCATATGGTTATTAGCTACTGTAAGACTGTATAGCACTATTTTGTTTTAAATGCTTTTATTCTAATCCAAATTCATGCAACTTACTGGAATTGAACATTTAGTTGTAGATAAAAGTTATTCTTGGGAAGATTTCGCTACTTATCTTGTAATTTTTATAGGGTTTTGTGTATTCATCCCTACCTTGTTTCTGTACTTTTTGGCATTGCCATCCCTACATCCTACTTAATTACATAAATAACTATTGTTCAGTGCTTCCCTCTATATGTAAAACAACTATTTGCATGCCACAAGCCTTGAGCTCCCATGTACATTACAATAAACTGGTTCCAATGCACCTTGCATGTAAATCATCATGAGCCAACTCTCCACCAACAAGAGTATGACACACTCTCCTGACACAAGTGACTCTCTCTATTCGATTCTACCAAACTATCACTTCTCATTTGGCAGTATTCGTGTTGTAACAATTAGTTTGTGCTCTATACAAGTTTTTTTTTATTTTCCATATCTTTGTATCAATTTCTCTGAACAAGTTTACTATTTATTATAAATTAGTGATATTTGTAACTTGAGTTATTCCGAAGTAAAATTATTACATATTTCTACCCAGTTACGGAACTTATTACTTCATTATGAAAACTTTTTATTTATTTCTGCCAACATAGTTGTGTTTGTTATTCATTTTGAATTCTCAATTGTAAGTTACCACTTTGGAGGTTATAAGTTCCATCATCACATTTACACAGGCTTCAAGTGATGGTACTCCATGGGGAAATTATCAACTTTACTTTCATTGGGAAACTGATTAGTTTTTTTTGTTTTTTTTAATTTTGCGCAAAGCTACATGAGGGCTATCTGTATTAGCCATCCCTAATTTAGCAGTGTAAGACTAGAGGGAAGGCTAGTCATCACCACCCACCCCACCAACGAATAGTGGGATTGACCGTCACATTATAACGCCCCCACGGCTGAAAGGGCGAGCATGTTTGGTGGGATGGGGATTCGAACCTGCGACCCTCAGATTGCGAGTCGAGCGCCTTATCCACCTGGCCATGCCGGGCCCGAAACTGATTAGTCCAATGAGCTGACCTTCATCAGACCTTTACTCGAGTTTGGGGCCCATACATTTTGAAATAGAGTTCGCAGACTTTGGAAAGATAAGACGTTATACTGTAGCTGGTTTTTGAATAATTTGATTGTTAATATTATTATCTGTAGTTATTTGGGTTCCATAACATAAGTTTCGTTAGACTGCTCAATACTCATAGTCAAGTTCAGGTTCAAAATTAGGCTTAGTTGTATCCTTTGTCCTATAACGTTTGCTTAGGCTTACCATAGGTCTTTGTTATTTTAGGATTTAATGGAATTCATCTTACTGGTATATCAATCATCAGTTTAACTATGTTGTTTTTCTTCCATACATCACGTCTCCTACATATGTTATTGTTGATACACACTTAATTTTATAATATAATGTCTCTTTAATTTTTGTTATTATTTATCTTTTTACTTCTTCATATTAACTTGGTTTATATGAAGCCCTTTAGTCAGGATCTGCACAAACTTATTGTTAGGTTAGGGATTTAAATATAGAGCTTAGCGATATCCTTTGTCCTGCACTGTTTGATTAGGCTTAAAAAAGTGTGTTTTATTTTCGGTTTACCTGTAGTTCTACTTATAGGTTAATCTATAATTAGGTTAAATATCTTGTTTTCTTCAACATATAACATCTAATACATTCTTTTATTTTACTACACAATTTCTTAAAATTTACAATATATCAACTATTTAATTTTTGTCATTCTTTATAATTTATACTTCTTACCATTAATTTCGTTTGTGAGGAATGATTTCTATGAGTTTGGTTTTGAGTGAGATGGTTTACATTACAAAGACATCTTAACTATGCAGGAAGATGGGTTCCCAGATTGGTCAATCAATTTATCACATTGCTATCATGTGTCCTGTTCATAGATTTGGGGATAACAGTTTCCCTCCGGTCTGATGAACTTAAAGAGGAAAAAGTATGATCCTCTTTCCAACCCACACATGGATGTCGTTTCCCAGTGGCCAGGTTTTGGATTGTAGTCGACTTGCCATGTACGGTCCATTGCACCCTAGCCACTCTACACCTAGAGGCATATCCTTTTATTCTCACCCACATTGATGTACTATATGGGATTGAGGTTCCAATATTGTGTGGTTTGGATCCCTATCCAACCATTATTCTCTTCTCAATTTCCACCCACACTGGTACAGAAGTTGTGCAGTCTTCCATTTTTGATCCTCTATTGCAAGGATCTACTCTTTAAGGGTGTCCTTTGGATGCTTTTGAAGGATGATTCTCTCTTTCTTTTGCATTGGTCCCTTTACCAATTCAATGTGGGATTCTAGCTAGTTATGTGAAAAGAGGTAATATACCGTATCGGAAGTTATAATTTTCCTATACTGAAAGTATATTTCTGATAGGTACTTACTTCCCAACCTTCCTCCCCACTGAAAACTGGTGCTCCCATTTTCTGCCAGTGATAGTTTGATAGAATCAAATAGAGGGAGTCATATGGATCAGGAGAGTGTTGTACTCTTGTTGGTGGAGGGTTGTCGCATGTGTGAGATGCATTGGAACCAGTTGATTGTAAAGTACGTGGGAGCTCAAGGCTGAAAATTTCTTTGAATATAGAGGGCAGCACTGAACAAGAATAGCTATTTATGTAATTAAATCACAGTGGTAATATATATTGTTAATGTCATATCAGTTTTTTCATCGCACTTGTAGAATGACCTCAGATGTTGATATCATACCATACAATTGGCTACAATTAGATTATCAATCATCACTGGTCATAATCTTGACTTCTTGGGACTTAATGTTGAGGAAGCTACAGTAAGAAAATAACATATGAAATATTTATAGCTGTATCATCCCTATATTCATCTCTACAGCATTTTATATTTATAAAATGTTTTTTTTATTACTTGTTTTGTGATGTTTTTTCCCCTGACTGAAAGTTAATGTATTATATGAATGTGTGTAATAAAATTTAATATTATGTATATTGATTTTTTTTTCACACCTTCATACATAATATAGAGGTTGGCTCCCTAAAGACACCAATTGTATAGAGTACAAAGCACTGAGTATTCTACATGTTACAGTCGTTTAAAGTTCATCTATTATTGACTGGTTAATTCTTGTTTCACCTGTACTTACAGCCTTTATTATAATGTGTTTGCTATTCTTCTTTGGCTACATTTCACACTGTGTCATTCTCTGGGCTTCCCATGTCCCAGGTGCTATGAATGTTCTAAAGGGTTTTCCTTGTATACAATGACTTCTACCTGCAGAGTGGACCCTTCCTTGTTTGGTTTGCTTAATGGTTGTGCCTTCAGTTCGGTCTTCCTATGTTCAATGGATTTGCAACAGCAGTAAATCATTTTCTGCCATTATACTGGTCTCCATTTCTGGATCCAGCTTATTTAGCAGGATGTTTTGGGCCAGTTTTATGATAATCCTTTTCTCTATGCCTATCCTCATATTTGTTTTCTCCCTCAGGTATTAACCAAAATCAGTGGGTCCCATTGTCTAGTTCTTGTTGGTTCATACTGGCTTGCTCAACCAAAGTTTTTACTATTCTGTTGGTTATCTCAGAAGGATTGTTTTTCCATTACTGCTTTGGAAATGTCTTCTCAGCCAGTCTTGAATGTTCATCTTCCACAATGATATTTGTTGTCTACAGCTTCGTGGATTCCTGTTATGTGGTCCATTATTATAGTTGCCAGATTCTTTTCTTGAGTAGTCCATAAGTTGTTACATTTTTACCTATGTTCCTCCCTAGCAGTTTACCAATCACACTGGTCTACTTTTGTGGTTTGTGCCAGAGGAATTTGGTTTCTTGTCTTATGCCAAATCCTCCACAGCTTGTTTCATTTTTCATGTATTTATTTCATGAGAAAGGCTTGACTACTACTTCTACTGCAAGCTTCAGGTCTGCCCTCTCTGCCACTTTTTGTTACCATTGAAGCATATATGCCTCTCATTTTCACTTTTCAAAACTGTTTTTTTTTTTAGCTATTCATATATGTCAACCACAAGTGCCTAGATATTGTCCTCAGTGGGATCTAATTCTGGTCTTAAGTTACCTAGCATTTTATCCTTTTGAACACTTCCCAATGTATTTACTATAACATCTTTCTCTGAAGATGTATTTTCTTTTGTTACATGTTTTATGGATGAGAAGATCAAAAGTATTTGCCATTGATGCTTCTCATGCTCTTTTCTTCTTGGAAGGTTCTGTATTTATATTCTCATATGCCTTCTTAACTAAGACTTGAGTGGCAAGAGGGGATCAAAGCTGTTTTTCTATTACGTTACCAGAACTTTTCACTGCTATCTAACACAAATGGAACATTTTCATGGGATTTGACACAGGTTATTTATTTCTTTTGCCAAACCTCAATCCATGGATGTTGTTCCATCCACATTGCAATTGATCCATTTCGTTTATCGTGATGTTTCTGAACACCTTCAGCATTTGGTTACATCTCGTCAAATTTGCCAATTGGCTATGTCTTAGGCCTTCTGGTCTCAGAACCCTTTACAGAATATCTTGTAGGCCAGCATGTGGATGAATCCAAATACATTTTTGTAATTTTATCTTCTCAACATTGTTACCTGTGGTTATTCTCCAGATTCGATGGAATCCATAACAGGTTTTTTTTCTGTTTTTTTTTTCTGTCCAACACTTGTTGTTCTCTGTTTTCAGGGTGTATAGGCTTGTGAATGATTTGACTTCACAAACATAAATATTCAAAATAACATCCAATACAGTGTCCTATTCTGTGGGGTTTCTGTATTTATATGAATTTGTCAAGTCAAGACTCATGTTTTTTTTAACCTCAATGTTTGTCCTTGACACAATTCCACCCTCTATGTTAGGGCTCTATGAGAGGATGTTACCTTTTGGAAGTGAAGTAAGGGTGTCATCTGGTGGCTGCTGCAGCATGAACCTTTCCCATCTCTGAATATGTCTAAGTAGCATTGGAGTCTCCACTACAACCAGGATGAGGGTGTGGTGGTCCTCACACCGTTAAGCCCATCCTTGGGACTGCTTCAGTCTTTCTTCAGTTCTCAAAGTGCCACATAATTTGGCAAGTTGTACGATCCCAGGTCACTTTCAATATAGAGGGGCTACTGCTTCTTGAGTATGTCTTTTCACAATATGTTTTGGTAGTTCCTTTGAAAACCTTCCATTGAAGGAGTAAAACACAATATTCCTCCTACTTGTTTATGCCATCACTTGTGTTCTATTGTTTATTCCACAGGTTCAATACAGTATTACTGCTCACAAAACCAACCCCTTTATCTGAATTAAAGGGTGTCATGGGCAAAGAGGTACCCTGCTGAGAAAAATGCCTTATTTTCTGATTGTCCTTTAAGCCCAGCCTTTTTCGAAGGCTTGTCTACTCCACTCATTCTTCCTCAAATCCTATCTATGTAATATTTTTTGATTCTGGATTCAACTCTGACTCTGCTTGGCTACATATTTCTTGTTGTCTATATTATTATCTTCCTGCCATGCAGCTTTTAGTTTTATACTTTTCTGTTTTGTTTCATGTTCATCAGTTCCAACCTTCTTTACAATGTCAATATTATGGCTTTCAGTATTTCAAAGGTGTGTTGAATTTAAATTTTTGAAAGTAAACTAAATTTCAAACAGACACATTCCTCTGAAATACCTTACCTCCTATTCCCAACAGCCAACTTTTTATCACAACTGCAACTTTCACTAAAATCTAAATTATGGTGAGAAAGCAGAGCTTCTGTAAGAACCCCTGACCTTTTGCAATAAATCACAGAAGGTGGGAGAGTGGAGAATTATGCAGAGATGAGGCATTCTTCACAATGTGTAAAGGACATTCAAAATTTTTGAGTTACATCTTTTGTCGACAGGACAAGTTCAATTTCAACAAGGAAAGGCTATCAATATTTCAGAGGTAAGTGTGTTTAAACTTCATTTGACTTCTAAAAATGTAAAAGATTCTATAAGTAAACATACACTGTAGTCAGACAAGCACATCAAAATACTCCCACAGCCATTAAAAAAGCTGGTAATATCAATGCAAGTTTCAAAATACGAATTTGCTGATCATATGCTACTGTCTATTTCAAAACTGCACAATATTACTAAAACTACTGAGCCAACAAACCTAGAGAAGTGTTGGGTTTTATTGTTGGAACCCCATTTTAACTTTTAGGTTAAACAGTTTGGATTCTGTTCCTAAGAGCTTTCACTATCCACTGATCAGTGTGCCTTCATGGAATAAAAAAACAACTGAAGTTTCAATAACCTAATCGAGAGATGCAGTAATTCTTCTAATCAAACAAATTTTTGTTTCTAGATGTACCATCCTCTGTAGGATGTTATTTAACACAGTATAAATCAGAAAAAATTTTAGTTTTATCAAACTAAGCCTTTTTTCTTAATAATTCTTAATGTGTTTTCTTTAGATAGTTAACACTATCATTCTGTAATCAATTTTTCTATTGATGAATGCATAATTTTTCATACTATTATGCAATAACAGTTATATCTATATGAAAATAATTTTTCAGACTATTATGCAATAACAGTTATATCTATATGAAAATAATTTTAAGATAATACACTGATACAACCAGTACTTCCTAATTCTTGGTAGCCTTTTTCATTAATGGTTTCTGGACACTCCATACCTCTCTACATAACTCTCTTGTGATGGGCTTGGTTGATTTGACCTAAATATTGACCCCAAATTGACCTTTAGATTTTTCATACTATAGCTTGTAATATGTTTTGTGTATTTTCACAAAATTTTACAAGCTGAGTAATCATTAAGTCTCTTGTAGATAAAAGTGTTTTCCATGAATATATGGAGTCAAAGTGTTGACTGCTCTGGGTGCAAAGTGATTTTCACGTTAAGATTAAAAATACTTTTCTTCATCTGAAAAATCTCAAACTTTGTGTAATCTTTAAAGTCTCCTAAATAAATTACCAATACTTTTTTCAGTAAAACTTGTTTATCCTAAATAGCTTTAAATTCATAACAGTATACATCTGTAGATATCTAAATGTTATTGTTTTATTGGCTTTTGAACCATGTCTAACTAATATTCACTGCACACAAGTTGTAAATCACTTGGTGAACTTGTAGTTCCCGTTACTCTATTGAATTATATAATGCACAAGCTACTCACCAGCTGCTCACGATTGTATCTTATGAAATTTTTTGAAAAGGTTTCTAATTTTTACATTTTAGTCACTTTTATAATAATAAATAAAAAATATACATGAAAAACAAGAAATATAATACTTACCAGGGTGTTCTTTTTTTTTTTTGCTGTCGATTGTTGATGAAACTTAACCATACTTTTTTATATTAATGGTACTACTGCATTAAATAATTTTTTACTTAATTAAATAATAACACACAAAAACCAGACAATCTCCTATAACTACCACAATTGTTTTTGGCTTTCTAACTATGCAACAAGAGCCATTAAAAATTCAGCTAAGCTTGTTGATGTGTTTCCCAAGGGAATAAAGTTTGAATTGGAAGCGAAATAGACAATTCTCTATAGAAAACAATGTAATACATTTGATAGATTAAAACTGTAACTTTCTAATGGTTATAAATAATATAGTATTAAACATCAGAGAAAACTATTGGCAATTTAGGAAAGAGAAAATGCGACATGTAGATGTAGCAAAAGGGTTCTGATTTTCTAGTTTATGGCTCTGTAACCAAATAAGATTGATGGCTATAAAAATTATGCTTTGCCTGAGTAATGAAAACATTATAATGAGTAATTTAAGTTAAATTTCTTACTTCGCAGAGGGGTGATAAATAAATTAGATAAGAGAGGATACCTAGAAAGCAAATGTCTCAATTCTCACACTTTAATGAAAATACTTCATTAAAAATTCTGATTTTTTTTTGTCTAAAAATGACTCTTTATGCTTAATGAAAGCTGGAAACATTTCGTGAAGGTACACAAAACATATTAGAAGTTATAGTATGGAAACTGTAAAGGTGAATTTTGGGTAATTCTTTAGGTTGATTCAACCAAGCCCATAGCAAGAGTTAATATTGCCTTATAAAATTAAGAAGTTAAAATTTGGTTTACAAGTTACATTGTGATGCCAAGTTTATCTGTATACCATGACAATAACGTACTTAATTAAATTTTAAATATGACTCAGTAAATCCTTGTGACATGCATACAAAAGGATGCCCACAGCGAGAGGGTTAACAGATGAAAGAATAAAACATATAAAATAGTAAGTCATCTATATTTACACAACAGGGCAATAGAGGCAAAAAATAAGTTACATATAAACAAACTCATCACTACCTGAAGTTGGGAGCTGATGCTAGCTCCAGTGCTAGACATGCCAAGTTTGTTGACAGATAGGATAACAGGAAAAAAATAGAAGTGATCTGAGCAATCAGGTTGAGGGATTCCATCAACAAAATTAACTGTAAGAGAATGTTAGGACAATAAAATTGATAAGTAAACCACAAAACCCAGCTTTCAGAACAACAGTTTATGATGACTTTACATTAAAAATCATAACTATACACAGGCAAGGATGAGAAAAAACAGTGACAACCTTTTCGAAGCATTATTTCATTAAATATTTTTCTTCATAAGAAATTACATATGTTTATCTGAACTTCTCTTGTAGTAGTCTCACTAAAGCAATAAGATTATTAAAAGCTAATCAATGTGCACAGGGGTGGTCCATTGAATCGATGCAATACTGAAGAATTAAAATTAACAATAACTTTGAACTAACTATATGTATCTTCATAAAATTTGGCAAGCTTTTAGTAAACATAAAAATTCTGCTATATACAAGAAAATCTGATTTTTTAATAAAGTATTTCTACTGAAGATGTGACAGAACTTATGAAGCCTTTACTGAGTCAGTCTGAATAAAAGATGATTTTCACAATAAGATTAAAAATACTTGTTTTCATCTTGCACTTTTCATATTTCATTTGCAACTTCTAAACTTACCTAAATGAATATCAAAAGATTTTTTCAGTAAAATTTTATAATTTATATTTTCTCTACATTAACTTTAATTGTAGCAAAAGTTGAAAAATATGAAATAAAATCAAAAATACATTTACATTTATTTTTCAAGAACAAGTACAGACTGTAACAATTCACATTTATTTTAATTTAATTTTAATGTTTTACTGCTATTTAAACTATATCTAACTAGTGTCACAAAACAATAAATCACCCAGTAAGAGATTAGTGCAAGTTACAGTAAGCGAAGTATTGAGTTAGATCATGTGAAAAGCAGCTCGTGTGCATTCCTTTCAGTGAAATTTTTTAGTTAATTTTTCTTACCTAACCTAATAAGTTTCTATTTTTCTAATTTTAGTTACTTTTGTTAAAAACTTATTACAATAGATAAAAAAATACACAAAAATATAACAAGGAATTTTACATTACTTTAGCCTTTAGACCTTTTGTGCATGTTTTAGTAAACTTATTAATGTAATTTCAATTATGTATTTTAGAATACAAAAAATACATCAATCACTAAATTGAAATGTCCAAAAATGACTATAGTTTGCTTGGCTTTCTAACTAATCTATAAACAGGTTAAAAAAATTCATTACTTCTCAGAGCAATGTTTTCAGCTCAAACCCATAAAACTCTCAGGGAGAATTATTGGCTTTCATAAATAAAACAAAACAGAAAATTGACTGATATACATAGTGCAGAACTTGCACTTTTTATTGGTTATAAATATGTCCAGTAGCAATATCAGAGAGAATTACAGACATCTGTAAAACATAGAGGATATGGGGGTGGCATGGCAATGTGGGTTGAACAAATAGTAGTATCTCAGTAACATAAAAAGAGGTTCAAACTTCATATTCTGGCTTATCAATATTTGTAGGATTTGTTTTTAATTCCTTGAATAATCTGAAACTCTTGCAAGTGAGAAGAAAAAATCTATAAATGCCAAACAACTTTGAGGTGCAAATTGAGAATCTGTTTAAATATTTCCCTTTGAAATCAAGAAATTTAAACTTAAATAATATAAACAATTGGAATTATAAACTTTGTTTTGATATCAAGCTTACTAATATACATCTATATAAATATAATAGTACTCTCTGTTGTATGTCCATGATAAGATACATACGAATTTGCAGTTTTTGATTTTGTGATTTTCATGGGCATTTTTGCAGTTTTTTTAACCACTACTTTGCCCCATGTTCATGGATATTCACCAAATTTGGCATGAAGGTTTGTTGGGTCCATGTGGAGATACATGAAAATTTTTGATATTACATTTTGTTTTTTGCAGTTTTTATGGTCATTTTTGTATTTTTTTTACAATTACATATAATGGAAGCAACTTTTCACGTCCTAAGATAACCTTTCATTAATCACGAATTTACATACATTCCATGATATAATTAGATTTTGAACGTAAATCTTCAAAAAAGGTCATGACGTGCACTTTGACAACTTGTATCCTCTGGGTTAAAGGAAGTATCATTTTTAATAATGTTTTTACATAATTACAAAACTTCTAAAATAAAAGGTAACTAAAAAAACCTCTTGTTTACTCATCTATCCCACCACTTTTGTCATGAAAATGTCTGAGAATGTATTCCTCTCAGTTCAACTAGGTTAAAAAAAAACACCTAATCCATGACCAGTTTTCAGCTTTACAAATCTTCATACATCCAGCTAGATTAATGGTAAGTGACGTCACTCAATGGATCTTTATATGATTATAGGTTGGGAAGTTTGTTTGATATGGAATTTGGTTAAATTTTGTTTCTTTTTCTTTCATTTTAAACCCTAAAAACTTCAAAATAGAGAAAACACAAATCTCAGAAACAGTTGGTATCTCTCAAGCTCCTATAGTGCATAAGCAGAATATATGCTTTCTATCTCCTTGCATTAATATAAGAATTGTTACAATTTGTTATCTGTCCCGATATGTGCAGTTCCCACATATTATTTTGGTCAATAAAGTTAAGCTTCTTTTGCTTTAGCTACTTATTGTTATGGGTTATTCACCTAGAGTATCACATTTTGTTTTCCTATGGGAAATATAGTTGCAAGGTCACTTGTAGTATGTGAAGTTCTGGTATTTTATTGCAAATGACCACTCATGTGAGTAGTGTTAGTTACTCTGGATAAATATAACAATAATGATTTAAGTAACTAAAGTGAAATTTATTCAGACTGGAACACAGTCTTAAGAGATACTGTCTGGAACTAGAGATTACTGTGTTAGAATATCTTTAGAACTGACTCTCCAGCAGAGGCAACTTTCCATTATAACATGCAAAATAAATACTTTATCTGTGTTTTAAATAAACGGTGTTCATTGTGATTGTGCATTGGTGTTCAGTCTATCTTTATTTCTCATGAATTCAATTAGTCAGAGAGGATAAAATTATTTGGTAATAAATATCTTGACAAATCTTCTGTTATTAAGCGGACCTCTTTTGTCATTCTTAGGTGAAATCAGGTTTACCTGAAAATACCACTTTCCTTTGATATGAAAAAATATGAAGAATAAATTTCCTTACCATCAATCCAGGTGACCATAGAATAATATTTGATAAGGGTTAGAATGTTTTATTTTGCAGTTATAGAATAATAGGTATTTTGGAAAACACAAATAAGGAAAAACAATGAATATTTAATCAAATTAATACAGAGTAATGCATTTTGAAAAGTACAACTTCAAAAGAATTTTAATAATATTTTGAAAATAAAAATCTCATCTTTATATTGTCAGGATATAAAATATAAATAAAACTACAATTTGACTTTACTAACCTCTACTAAAACCCATGCCACTAAAACGGCAGCAACAGGGTTTCCTCCTCGGGTGGTGAACCGTACAATGGGTCGAAGCATAACTCCTAATCATCATGAAAATACCACTAGGTTCAATAAAAAGTAAAAACATTCATACCAGTCTTATGTTAACTGATACTTTCTTATTTTTATATCACTGTTGAAGTGAAAGACATCGTATTTTTCTGTATATATGACGTAGTGTACATCATATTCTTTGTCATCGTTTTAGAAATAATCTTTTATTGTTGCACTTGATGTTACTTATGTAATTCTTAGAATTACAATTACTGTGTGAAAACAAGATAATTTCAATATTCATATTCCTTTTACAGAATAATAGTTCTCGTTTTCTTAACTTTTATAATGACATTTTCATTATTTATATTTTAAAGTTCCATTTTACTTGTTTATCTAAAATATTTATATTTCTTATTATTATTTTGAATGTCATTTGGTATGAGCAATGAAATGCATAAAAAAAATTGTTCATTTTGTTACAAAGAAATTTTAAATGACTAATTTCAACCAGAATGACTTTTTTAAATGCAATTCACAATGTTAAAAGTTTCGTTACCTAAAAATGTATTTCAGATAGATACTTACCTCTCTATGCCACTATTACCTTGTTCATGACTGCCATGGAATTTCCTGCACATGCCACAAGCCTTGAACAAATTCCCACCTCCTTTATGTATCTAAATGTATTGCATTAGCCTAAGACATAAACATCACAATGCTATATATAGCCTTCCACCAGAAGGAGGGTGATACAACCTCCATGCTCAGTAATACCTGTGAGCATTAGCTCATTCTTGATGAGGCAAACAGAATCCACTGGAAGTGAAAAGGGAGGGTAGGATGTGGTACAGAAACGTAAGGTCTATCTGAAATAAATTTTCAGGTAGGGAAAATGTTAACTTCAGAAACGTTACTTACCTCTCTGCACCACTAAGAACTAAATTTCACATTGAAAATGGTGGATGGGCCAGTGCTGATCAAATACAAAGGTGAGCTCCTTTCTGAAAAAGTGACAGAAAGGGAATGCCCATGGGGTGTGACTTCCATGAGACCAGGTGTCAGATAATGGGAAACTGCATCCTTCTCAGGAAGGGAATACTTTTTGCCCAATTTATTATTAATTATTGATTTCCATTATAGAGAGAGTATAGCAAAGGAAATGAGGAAAAGTCAGTGCTGGTGGTAACATGTTAGAATGTGTAGTGTGGCTAATGCTTTAGGCTATTCTGTCTTGGTGAAATACATGAGATAGATAGTGTAACAAGTGGAGAGAGGAGGAGCCCTCACCTGCTTTTTGAGGCAAATCCAACCTCGTCTGGCTGGACATATCCACCAAAAACTGCTTAGGAAATATTATAATAAAATGTCCTGTTCTACACTTTCAGGTAGTACCCCAGCTCTACATCTGAGTGGGCCAAACTGATCTATAACCATGGCTAAGGCACCACTTGAAGGGTAAACTCTCCATATTGACATCCTCCAGAAAGGAGATGAGATCTGTCATGGTAAAAACAGGTGATGGCAGTTTCCACAAAAAGAGGTAGCTTGAGGAGGATAGCAGCAACAGCTCATACATGAAAAAAGATCTTTGAGATTGGTACAATCTTTCAACTAGAAAATAGAAGGGTTGAGACAAAATACTGGGGAAGTAATGGTTATCTCATAATCTATTAAAAGAACAGAGGAGGAGGAATATGCATGTACATGGACCACTGTCATCATCTGGAATTGGGTCCTCACCAAGAGATAGTGCAATGGGTTGCAACAACTAAAGACAGCAAATGCAAGCCAGGTGTAAGGGCAGGAATACACTTGATACTGTGTTTTTTGTTTGGAAAAGGTACATAAAAGGCCATGCCAATTGCACATACTGCAATGACAGTATTGCAGAAAACCCCATCTCAATGGCAGGTACTGAGCAAGAGAAGATGGGTTTAATACTTTCTGTTCATTCCCTCTCAATGCGGATTTTGGGTAAATATTCCCTATGAGGCAATCCTGGTCACTTGATGGGATCTGATGGCATCAAACATAAAGAATGTAATGGTTAGTATCTGATGTTATATTCAATCTGGTGTGTATTACTCTTCCTTTATTTTTTTGTGATAATTTTGCAATGTGTTGGGATGTGCACAAAAATAATGATACACACATGGATATACCATGAAATGTACAAATGACAGAGAGATGACTGAAAACTCAACAGGCAAAATTCAACACACTAGAGCCTCTGGGTAGACTGGCAAATGGCAACTGGAGGGAAACAAAACCTGAAGAACAAGATACTACCCAATGATGTAATTAATGGGAGAAGAATTTGTTAGGTGTAGTCAACATTCCAGCCTATAAGATATTCATTAAAGACTGGTGATGAAAAAGAGGCAAGAGAGGCTTTTATGTGTCAAATCTGGTGGGAGAAGACATAAAACAGTATATGGTCAGACTCATTCAAAGATGAGTATGCAAACTGGATGAGCTAGCAAACCCAACTAGTGGTTTCCATGAAAAGGGGTAGCCAAAGAAAGATAGCAACATACAGCTTATACAGGACATAAATAGTTCTCAGAATCTGCACATACAACAAGGAAAGAGTTAGAAGAAAACATCTGATTGCTCCTCTGAGTAACCCAACTCACTGCAAGAAAGGAGCAGTTTGGAAACAACATCAAACAGTGTCTATGATGAAGAAAAGTAAATGTCTAAGTTGTAAATATCTAAGCAATGATGACCACATGCAAGGAAGAGAAAAAATATGTCTTAAGAGACAAATGAAACAAGAAACCTGAAGACAAAGGCTCAATGATGGGTGTGCGTGTGTGCAGACAAAGGGTGCAATGGACAAAAATAAGCCTTGAAGAGGTCTGTGAGAACCAGATGAGAGTAATTATAGAGAAAGAGATTGGATCAATCCAGGCTGAGAGCATCAACAATGAATCTGGCAAAATGTTGAATTAAGGAAGGGGGGGGGGTGCAAAACCATTGACCACTGAAATGGGAAGAATTCATTGGAAAACTAGATAGTACAAAGACAACTCCATGGGATGTATCCTATACAGTTGAAACAAACGATCCAGTACCAGATTCAAAATCCATGGAATATGAGATGCTGCAAGGGGAATACAATGATCATAGGCACAATAAAGGAATTCTAGAGTGAGAAAGCAGAGGATCCAAGAGCATGTGCCTTTTGAGCAGTTGATGTAAGAAAGGACCATAAGATTGTCTCAGTGGATCAAAATGAGATGACAACAACAACCAAAAAAGTTGGCAAGTCTGATAAACCTTAGTCATTTCACAAAAGTTGATATGCATAGAATGTTCCTCTGTAAAGTGGGAGAGGAGGCATCAAGATACACCTCCCAACTGGAAAGAGAGGCATCAGTGTAGAGATTGCAAGTCAGGCTGGGAAACTGAGTGGAATACTTCAGCTTAATTAGGAGCAATTGTGCAACCATGACAGAGAGGTATTAGAGAAAGGTAGACACAAGAGTAGAAAATGTGGTTGCAAGACAAGTTCCAATTAGTCCCCAAGGACATATGCACACAACCGAGTGGAATCAGGGCTACCAGAGAAGCAAAAGTCCCCCAAAATGAGAGAACCTCTCGTGCAGGTAGAAAAGGAGAGAGAAGTGGCCTTGGACACTAAGATAACCATGGCATGAATATGCAGAGGAGAAAGTCGAGCCCACCCTGCACGAGAAATAATGGTAACTCCCTGGTGGACAAGATACTGGGTGAAAGAGAAAATGGAAGTGGAAAGTTCTATCAGCCAGTTCAGCTGAGGCCTCCTGAAGAAGAATAGAGGTAACAATCATTGAATCTAGTCAAGATTGGGCCAAACAGCCCAACCCTGTGGAAGAGGGGGATAGTGAACAGAATGGATTGAATGAGGAACAAGAGTTAGCTCAACGTGACTCTTGAGAATAGATAGCAGATAGAGGTGCTCATGGAATAGTGAGTAGAGGAACCAAGGAAACAATGGAAAATTGCTGGAGAGCAACCTTAGCCTGGAGAACCCACAAAAGACTCAGTTTGTAAAAAAAAAGGTTGTGACAAAGGCCATGGATATAAGAGGAAGGAACATGGACACTCAAATTGAAAGCAACCCCATAGAGGAGATCCCAAAAACAAGGAAAACACTTCAAAATAGAGACAACTGAGCAACAAATAGAAGACAAAGTGGCAAACACAGAAGATATCCTTATCATATCCATTAGGTTTGTGATGAAGAACTGCAGTAACGAGGTTAACGGTGGAGATAAAGCTATGGAGTAGGGTAAAAAAAAAAGAGAAAAGACAAAGATGAGCAGGAAACTGGAAAGAAAAAGACAGAGAAGGAGAAAGAGGAGCACCCCAAGTAGACAGAGAGGACACAAAGATTGAGGTTGAAGAAATATAAAAAGGCCATAGCAAAGTAGACACAAAGACAAGTAAGATAAGAAAGATGAGGAACAATGTGGAGTTGCGACAAAAGGAGCTTCATGAAGTAAAAACAACCAAAAGGTCATTATGATATACAGGTAAAAAAGACAGAATAACACATAGCTGATTTATGAGTGTAGCAAACAGAAAAAGATGTACCAGAAAAAGAAGAGCCAGAAACAAAGGCTGGAGGTGAAAGAGTTGGCCAAAATCATCCACAGGCAAGGCAAGCAGTACATGAGGCAATAAAAAAGAATGAAAAGTGACCTGAACTGGAGAAGAAGTAAGAAGGAAACCAACCACATGATGTATGATAATGGGATCATCATCAGTTAACTTATTGCCACACCATGGTTCAATACAACTCTATAAGATCATCCATGATGTCGATAGTATCTCATCATGGAGTAACATTTGAGACCTGTCATATGTAGGTATGTACTCTACTAAGTGAGCTAAAGGAATAACAACTGACTGTCAGTTCCATAAACAGACAAGGTGCCTTCTATTGTTGTTGAGTGAGTTAGAGAAAATGACTGAAAAGAAATATGTAGGCCTCAGGACTTTCTTTTTTTTTTTCAGAAATGTGGTGGCTAGAGAAAATGAAGTTGCATTTAGTTGGGTGGAGCAAAAATACAAAAGTAATGTAGCCCTAAATAAAGAATGGTAGTAGATCAAAGTGACCAGAAACTTACACAAAAAAACGTGTCTGAACTCGCACAGTGCCAGGGAAAGAAGGAGCCTATGTTTATTTGCTGGTGCTCACGGATTATTGTGCACAGAGTTGTGTAGCTCTCCTATTGGTGGAGGGCTAGAGCATTATGATGATAACGTTATAGGCTGGTGCAACACACATGAACACATATAGGGGAGGCAGTTTGTGGCATGCACAGGAAATAAAATGGCTGTTGCATGTAAAATAACAGCTCTTAGTGGCACAGGGAGGTAAGTAGCATTTCTGAAGAAAGATTTAGGCTGGTATTTTTTTTGTATGAAAAAATAGTTTAGTTCAGATAGATACACAAATGCAAAACATGAAAGTTTAAAATTATCACATAAATTTAATGTTTTCTTTACACAAATCAAAAACAATACTAACTAGAAACGAAACTGCAGCTAAAAAGTTCTTATCCTATACAACATGTAAGCTTCATACTAACCAAAAAGTTCATCTTTAGCAAGGGCTTCCAAAACTCTAGAAGATCCAATCAGATTACTTAAAGCTGCTGATAAAGTAGCAAAAAAAATTCCAACAGCAACAAATGGAGGTTGAAGATTGATATACTGCATGAACAAGTAATTGTTTCGCAGTAAAAAACTGTTAAGTAAAAAATCAGATATTTTACAGTCAATAAACAAACTACGGATTCTTCTAAGATGGAAAACCAAACTTTCTAAAACAATATTTACATTAAACATGACAGATAAACTTATGTGAAAACAAACCAGGTTAACAAAATTACAAATATAAGAAATGTTCCTAAAAGACAGAGTTACATTACAATATAAATTTTTTTTAGAAAACAAACAAACAAATAAAAAGCATGTAATTAACTAATTTTTAAGCACTGTTATAGATTAAAATTTACTTTTGTTTTCAAATCATTTAACTTTAAGGTAAATGTAGCAAATATTTATTCAGAAGAGAGATTCTAAAAGAGATGTATAAGAGAGTAGTTCATTTTACTTTATACACCTGCTAAGATAAAATGATGTAGGATTCATCATTCTGAGAATATGACATGATCTCTGAAGTGGGATGAAGAGTTATAAATAAATTCACAAATATATTCTAAGTGGTGATATTTGGTCAGTAAAGTAATATCCAACTGAAGCTCTCAAAATTCTAATTTGCATGAAACATTGATATTTTACTCTTCCAGTGAGAGCATCTGAAAGCAATCATTGTATGAACTTTGCATTTTGTTATTGTATATGCCTTCATCACCGAGCTGTTATCCAAATTTGTATGGAAATATCTAACACCTACCCTTCTCTGTCTATAAACAACTTCCACTATTAAATATTTCTTCACTCAACATGAATTTTACAGTTTGTCAGTTAACATTTATTCCTCATTTCTAGATATGCAATTTGTGGAAGAAATATGTGCTTTAAATAGTTTTGAAAATAAATCCAATGAGAGTGGCACTATATTTCAGTTAATATATTTATAGTTTTAATGACATAAAACTATATGTTTATCCATTTCTATTAAAATGTTTCTTGGATAATATCATAAAAAATGCAACATGACATGAAACAGTAATAAAATTTTAACTGTAATTTTAAGCCTTTGACTAGGTAGACGTATTATGCAACAAGTCAACAATATATATATATATCACAATGTCATCAATACAGAGAGCTAAAGTTATCAATACAGAGAGCTAAAAGTTATCAATACAGAGAGCTAAAAGTTATCAATACAGAGAGCTAAAAGTTATCAATACAAAGAGCTAAAAGTTATCAATACAAAGAGCTAAAAGTTATCAATACAGAGAGCTAAAAGTTATCAATACAGAGAGCTAAAAGTTATCAATACAGAGAGCTAAAAGTTATCAATACAGAGAGCTAAAAGTAACGTGTTCAGTGATGCCTAAGCATGTGTGTGTAATTTAGTGAACATATTACTGTAACCTTACAGGCAACATGCTAGATGTAATCATCAGCAATGTTCTAAAGCTCATCAAAGAAAGTCAGTACGAATAACAAAAAATGAAGTTTTGGTCTCTTTTTTTCATTTAATAAGCATTTTCCTTTGAATATGAATATAATATTCATAAAAAAAAGACCCATGCCTTAATAGTACCTTAAAAATATCTAGTACTGAATGATATGGGTTGAAATGGATCTTCACATATAATGCTTAATTTCTACTCACTAAAGTCAACAGACATCTCCAGCATCTTCTTTTCACTTACTTTGAACAGGTAAAAGCTGTGAAGAATACCAATAAAAGGTATGTAACAAAGGTGAATGCAGTTGCTGATAAAGTTCCACGGGGTATAGATTTGGCAGGTTCCTTTAAATCTCCTATTTATATAAAGTAGATGAAAGAAGAAAAAACTAAAATGTTATATCAAAATTATGTCTCCACATACCTGCTTATAATTGAAGCTGTCATGAGCCATGTTGATCGTATGGTAATTCATTTGGAAAATGCAAAACTATAGGAAATTATTTTATTGATATATATAAAAAAAATTCTTTTACTACAACTCAGAGATCAAATTTTCTATTCAATGTTAACAGATACATTATAATCACTGAACAAATAAGAAAATACCTCATTTGATTAAATGATATGACTTTTCCAAATAATCTTCCAACCCTATAACTTAGAGTCTCTATAATATAACTATACATTAAACAATGCTTGAATAATAATCCATGAAGTAACACAAGTACAGCTTAGTTCTGTAGAATGCTCCAATATAGTGTCAACAGCTGGCAATAAAGTCCTAGTATCTTATTTCATCATCAATTTAAATCACATTTTATATTTGAAATACTTTTTTTAAACTACTTTCACTCATATGTTTTTCAAAAACTATATCGTTTATTGCAGATTAAAACAAAGGCTCCAGAATATGTAAGGAAACAATGTGATAAACTATATTGCATATAAACATGTTCCTTAATTTAGTGAAATTTATATTTATAACTTATACTTATAACACATTTTTTCAATAAAAACAAAATCTGCAATTGCAGATGTAATAATTAATTACTGGTTTTGAAGTTAATATTTTCCTTACCAGAAAATGTTTTTCCAATAGATACTCACCTCTTTACACACACACATAGAATAGCTCGATTTTTCATGTCTGTCTATGAGACTCGCATGCCACTAGCCTTGAGCTAACTCCCACACAAAAAGCATGTTTAACATGAACTGCACTAGTGTATGATGACATCATTATGCAATGATAGCCCTCCACCAATAGGAAGGAATACAACCTCTTTGTGCAGTAGCTACTCTTAAGCATTACAATCAGAATAACTCTAGTTTTAGATGTGACAAGGAGAAAGTGCACTGGAAGTGAGGAAGACAGGTGGGAAGATGTACAGAGGTATCTATTGGAAATAGATTTTCAGGTAAGGAAAATGTTAACTTCTGAAATAATACCTCACCTCTTCACACATAAAAGCTAGAATCCCACATTGAAAAGATAAAGGGACTGGTGCAAACAATAAGCCTAGATGAGCTCCCTTCATAAAATGCCCAATGGGAAAGCCCATGAAGCATGACACCTGATAGCATGGGCTCCATAGGGGCACAACCGTGGGAGACCACATCTATCTTGGTCAGGGCATATTCTTTGCCCAGAAGGAAAGGAAAAAAGAGCCCCATCTGTTGCAGAGATGGGCAGAATTTTTTGCATGTCTAACTGGAGCACCTCCACACAAGTGGTTGGTAAGCCAAGAACTGTAGTGTACTTAGGGCGCAATCAGACTGTACAGTGTGTCTGACCTTGACTCAACTAAACAGAGAAAGAGACTGGGGAGATGAAC